GCGCTAAATTGGCAATATGCAAGTAGTTCAGGAAGCAAAACCGCCAAAAACCCATAAAATTATGTATTGAGAAAATCCGTCCTGGTAGATACGGTGAAAGTACAAAGCAAAAGGCAATTGATGAATGATCATTGTGAATTTTTTATCCCTAAATTATACAAGCTTCTATCATTATGGTCTTGTTAGTAAGGTATAACCGCTTAACCCCAAAGCCAGAATTGCAAGCTACGCCAAGACCAAAGCCCACGTACGTCTCACTCCACCCCCTCTAATTTTCTCTGCATGATGCCCCACCCAAAACATCAACGGTTATCCCAATACCAAATCCAACCTCCTCCTCCTCCTCCTCCTCATCATCATCATCATCATCATCATCACCTTGAAAGCTCTCTCTCATCTTCCTCCTCAACACCCCATAATATTTTACATCCTTCAAATCAAACGTCAACAACAAATACAACATCCAGAAGCAGCAGCAGCTGCCACCCTTGCTTTGGCACGAAGCTTAAGTCCTTCTCACACCAACACTCTGGACAAATTCAAAACCTCACCAATATCATACCCTCTTGGCTTTATGTTGCTTCTCATTCTAGGCGTTGGAGTTGGCTGAAGCGTAGCTGCACTGGGGTTTTGTTCATGGCGAGCCCCAGCGACTTGTCCGTTCGCACTCCATCGGAGATTGTGAGTTCCATTTGAGTCTATGATGACACTCTTGATCATGTTGTTAGAAATGTTACATATTAATTCCAATATTATTATACGCCAAATTTTATTTTGGTTAATATGGACATGGACTCCTTGTAGCTAATTTATATGATCAATTTGTTATGCACACATATGATATCCTTTACTTACTAATGCAGCGGAAAAAGAGGCTTAGTGGGCAGCGAAGGAGAGAGGAGCTTGAAAGAGAGGTATGTAGTACTTCTTCTCTTGAAACAAATAAGAGTAGTGATTCTTGCACTACTAGTTTAGCTACTGACACTCCAAGTGAGCATTTTACAATTATATATATATATATATATATATATATATATACACGTAATAGGAGTGCCGGATGATAAACTGGGAGTGCCAATATCACCGGCCAGCTCGAAGCCCAGAAAATTTGGCAATCATAGGGTGATGGGCTCCCCTCCCTGGTCTATGTTGGTATAACTAGGATCAATGAAAAAAGTGACTAAAATTGATAGTGCAGAAGCATGGCCCAACGAATGGACAATAATTTATCAACATGTCATTTTTAGGCGTCCTTGTTAACTATGTAGCATTTATGCTTCATCAAGGTTTCATGGTTAATCTTTCAAACCTCTGGTTTCTTTCAACTGGAAGACCATCTTCATCTTTAAAGATGATATAATTGTACTGATCAAATTGGATTCCCAAGACCAATTTAGAGACATCATTCACTTCTATGTCAAGGAAACCATCGAAGTGTGACTTTTGAAGTGTCAAGGAACCATGCTTCTTAATTCTCCATCACCAGTCTCTGCCAGCACATCGGTTTTCTTCTCTTTTTCCCTTTGTTAGGATTGGTGCTCTTTTTGTTCTCTTTTGGAGCCAAATTTATTCTTCTTTCTAGCTAGCTCTAAGGTATGTGCTTGCAAGTTCTTCTATATATATATTTTTTTTGTTTATTAATAATATATGGGGATGGGGGCTCCCCGAAGTGTAGGTCATCTTTCCTTAGAGATTGAGGATGAATGTTTGCATCCTGTGACCTACACTGAATAACTAATCTCGCCTAATCTTCTAATTTATTAATTTGAATATAAAAAGTACTCTCCCTATCATATTGTTTCACCAAATTGGCATCAGAAATTGGGACCCATTAGATAATGAAGAATGTACATGCATAAATTACAAGGTGATAATTTTTTTTTTTCTTTGTTTCTTTGATATGAAGGTACAACGCATATTCATTCAAATACAAACAAACTACCCTCTAGGTGTAGATGAGAGAGTGACATTGACAGTAACAAGTTTCTATTTGGTAGGTTTCTTTGCTTCAAAGAATGCTGAATCAAGAAGAGAAAGTACATGAGGTTTTGGATCATGCCTATAGTCAGAAAACTACTGGTTCTGCTATTTCTTTCCCAAGATTCCTTCCTCCCAAGGTACTCTTCTGCCTTTTCTTGTTACACTTGTGTACAGTACATATAGAAATTATGAAAACGCATGCACTGTATTTTTTGAAGGCACCTTATGAGAAATGAATTCACGTAAGGTATGATGTTTTAGTTCAATTATACAAAGTTCTTATCAAAATTAGACAATTGTTACAAAGTTATTTTGGCAATGCTATACTATTGTTAGACTCTAAATTCATCCTAGCATTCAAATATGATTTCATATAATTGACGGTCCTAATTCACAGTCTGGTAAGATAATATGTTAGACTGTGTATTTTAAGCTTATGTGCTCGATAAGGGAGAAATGTAGTACAATCATTATCATCATAATTCTACTAGTAACATTATTTGTTCATAATAGAGTAAACATATTACTCTCTATGAGAACGCAGATAAAGGAGCTTTTGGCAGAGCTAGCAATGGTCGAAGGAGAAATTGCTCGACTCGAAGACCAAATCTGCCAACTTCAACTTGGGCTGAAGCATGAAGAAGAAGCTACTAAGGAAGCAAAATCGAAGCAATGGCAACATGAAAACCTAATAAGTACCCCCGTTGCCCGTGCATCATATATAGCCATGCCAAGCCCCATGAACATTAAAGGTGAGAGGATGGGGTACGAAACCAAGGCATTGCATTTCATAAGTAAAGCTATAAATGGTGATTATGATAATCTGAACGACCTCAGCCTAAATGAGAAAATTGGAAGCTTGAGAGGAATTGCTGATCAGAAAGAAAATTATTTCTGCGATGAGGTTAAATTTCAGAATAAGGTTCCTAGAAAAAATGGAATATTGAGGGCATCCTCACCCTCGCGAGCTCCAAGATATCCATCACCCAAGGTATGACAAGTTCCTTTTCTTTCTATTTTTAATTTTGTTTTCTAGAAAAATTATTATACTCGCGGTTTATATACAACATCTCTCTAATAATATGCATGTGAATCTTACTGTTTATAGTTCATAGTCCATACATATCTATCTATATTGTGAGAGGGAAATTGTGTATGACCGTAACATCAAAAAATTCGTTGTGATTTTAGTTATTGTATCATATAATTTCCAAATTTCATGTACATTTTTAATGATTATTGCTGTAAGGTATGCATTAGTAGAGTATTACAACTCTGATCTGGTGATTATCACCAACCAATTAATGTTTTTTTTTCTTCTTCTTTTTTTCAGCTAAAAGAACGTAATCCAGGGATTTTTTCAGAACTCCCACCAAAATCTGTACCAATTCCAACACAATTAGAAGAGAACATCCAGAATTGGCAACCAAACAGGCTCTCTGAAGAAATTATGAAGTGTCTCAACTTCATATATGTTAGGCTGCTCAGAACAACCAGAACAATGGAATTGGAGAAATCAGGCCCCATTTCCAGGTCCTTGAACTCTTCTATAACTTCAAGAAGCTTCAGGGATGACACCACCTCAAACTCAAAGTCAAGCCTAGTTTTGTTACAAAAGGAATCAAGGCAACAAGACCCTTATGGCATCTTCAATGTGGAAGACTCAATTCCTAGGGACATTGGCCCTTACAAGAACTTGGTCATTTTCACCTCAATCTCTATGGACCCAAAATCCATTTCTGCCTCCAATTCCATTCCTTTGATAAGAAAGTTAAGGTATGTTTGAATTAATTGTCTTCTATAGTATGACGGTGATTTTAGCACTCCCAATTTAGATTCTGGCCCTCCCACTTCTATAGTGTAAATATTATAAAATACTCAATTTCGAGTGTCATAATCTAAACTAGGATACTAAAATCATTGTAAGTTTGATATACATTGTTGGCCTATTCTCTGACATCTTAAATTTTTGGGGCTAGTGGTTGCCTAATATGATATCAAAACATTCTTTGCAAGTGGTCCTAAGTTCGATTCATGTTCTCATGTTCTCCACTTCTTTGTTGGTCTGCCTCTCCACATGTAGGATGGGCCTATAGTCTGCACGTGAGGGAGGGTGTAAAATTGATATACATTGTTAACCCGTTCTCTTATAGCTTAAGCTTTTGGGACTAGTGATTGTCTAACAATCCCTACCTTGCTCAGATTGTTATGTTGTGATCGTAACTTTTCTCGATATGTTGTACTTGTGCACCACAGGGTATTGATGAACGATCTTCAGGTGGTGGATTTGGGGTCCTTGACATACCAACAGAAGCTGGCATTCTGGATCAACATGTACAATGCTTGTATTTTGCATGTATATACAACAAAGCTTTCTTCTTTTTCCTTCTGCTTATTTCTTTTCATTTGAGAGATGTCCAGCCTCAAGTGCACTTTGAGAGCATCCAAGAACTAACCAATTTTTGCAAGGCACCCATCAAAATAGCAATGCAGAGTTTATTTATCCATGGTCTGGCCAAGCTTTCTCATGTTGGATTGACATAAATTTTTCTATTTTCAGGGTTTTCTTCATTATGGAGTGCCGGCTTCCACCGAAAAATTACTCACATTAATAAGCAAGGTAAGCCCCAAACTTCAACTAAAGGCATCAAATTGCTAGACATTACAGTAGGCAGTAGTTCATTGCAGAACAACTACTTGTTTCACGATGATAAGATTATTGAAGTGAAGTACCAGAAACATGTACTTGTTGTCCTGTCACCCTTCAATTCCTTGTAATAATCTTAGGCATAACAAATAATGGTTTGATTTCAGGCAACCCTGAACATAGGAGGTAAGACTTTAAATGCTGAAGCCATAGAGCATTATATTCTGAGGAAGCCACCACCTTCCACTATGAAAGAGGTAAATATTATGACTCGTCCTATATGAATCGAACATGTATTCTAAATCAGTATGATCTCCCATCATGAAATTTTTTCACAGTTTCTTCGGAATGAAGAGAAAGACGATAAAGCTGGTGTTCGGCAACTCTATGGTCTCGAGTCCATGGATCCTAATGCCACATTTGCTCTGTGCTGTGGAACACGTTCTTCTCCAGCGGTAAAACTTCATATAAAATGTTCTGCCATTGCATTGCATTTCATTATGTGCTGAATGTTAATGCTAAAGAATTTTCAGAACTAAAAGTTGCATTAATTTTTCAGGTGAGAATATACACAGCTGAAGGTGTTGTAGCTGAGCTGGAGAAATCAAAGTTGGAGTACCTGCAAGCATCAATTGTGGTGACCAGCACAAAGAAAATTGTGTTTCCAGAATTGCTGCTTGGGAACATGCTTGATTTTGCTGGGGATGTGGACTCACTCGTTCAGTGGGTTTGCCACCAGTTGCCAACATCTGGGTCGTTGAGAAAATCAATGGTGGATTGCTTCAGGGGCCAAATTAGCAGTGCCAAGATTTCTGCCACTGTTGAGAAAATGCCATATGATTTTGAGTTTCAGTATTTGTTGGCCATGTAATTTTCTTGATTTGGTGTCCACTTACCATGTATACCATGTGCGTATGTGAATAAAAGATGCATTTGGTTCAAGACCAAGTTTGAAGAATTTTCCCAATACAGATAAACTAAACCTTATTTGGCTCAAATGACAATAACAATTGATGAGAATGGTTAGAGTATAAACATCAGGATTCCCGACGCACCCATTTGGTTATACAATGAGATGACTGCCGAATAATGTTTCAATTTCGCAACTTGAGTCAAGATTTGAGTGAAACGAACAAGTGAAGGCAGAGGACGCTTTTGAAGCATTCTATCAAACAAATTGAGAGCATCCTCAACAGTTGCGATTTTGGGTGAGTTTCTCACTGCCTGCTCTAATTGGGTTCTTGTAGATTTGATAGGTTTAGAAGGTTGAGAGTAAAAGAGAGCAAAGTAATTGTTGGCGAAAACAACAGTGGAGTTATTATGAAGACAAGGCATACCTCTCCATCTCCTGCTGCTGCAACAAAAAGAAGCAGAAGCAGCTATATTCCGCATCATCATCTTCAGCTTCTCAGTGAGTCAATGAGTCTCACCCGTATCGAACCCAGTGGTGAAAGAAGAAGAAGAAGCTCTGCTGCAAGTAAAGCCATGGCTTTATTGATTCAGAGAGAAAGAGAGAGATATGGCAATTTGGCAAACTGGGAAAGGTGTTTGGTTAACCAATAATAAAATATTACTGGAATTAATAAATAGTATTATAAATGGTATAGCCGTACGGCTATACTTGGGGTTTTTTTTATATAAAACATAGTATCGCCGAGCGGCTATACTATTTTTGACACGTGGCGAAATGAGCGCAGGTGCAGGTGCAGGCGCCAGGCGGGTCCTTTTTTATATTTTATAAATCGTATAGCCGAGCGGCTATACTCGGATTTTTTTATAATAAAAATCGCATAGCCGCACGTGGCAAAGCGGGCGCTAGGCGGTAAGCTCTAGGCGGGTCCCTTTTTTAAAATAGTCTAGCCGTGCGGCTATACTCGGTGTTTTTATTTATAAAAAATAGTATAGCCGCGCGGCTATACACGGTGTTTTTGACACGTGGCTAAGCGCGCTAGGCCCTGGCGGGTTTTTTTCAAAAATATAAATAGTATAGCCGCCCGGCTTTACCTGGGTTTTTAATATAAAAAAGTACACGTGGCGAAATGGGCGCTAGGCCCCAGGTGGGTCCTTTTTATGTTATTTTATAAATAGTATAGCCGCGCGGCTGTACTACAGTTTGTATTAAAAAAAAAACAGTATAGCCCATCGGCTATACGGTTGTTACACGTGGCAAAGAAGGCGCCAGGCCTTTTTTTCAAAAAATAAATAGTATAGCCGGTCGGCTAAACTACATTAAAAAATAGTATAGCCGACCGGCTATACCGGGGATATTTTTAATAAAAAAGAGTATTGCTGCACGACTATACTCTTTACATAATTGAATCCAACCAAATTAATTGCGATTTGGTTCCATTCTTTTCAGGATTAGACTTTTTTGTGTAAAAATCGAACAAAACCTCTCAAATTAGTTGGGGCAGTTTTTGAGGGGCGGCTTGATACTTCCTTCATGGAGCGCGTCGAAATTTATTCGAGTGCAAAAACACTTAAAAGTGCTTTTTGGAAAATCGCGGTCTCCAAAAAAGGACTTTCATTATAAAAGCAGGCCAAACAGAACGTTGGGTACAATTACTTGACAGTTCCGTTTACGTTTCATACGGCGGACCGTCTATTAAGCAATACATATAACCCAGCAATAGCAACGAGCTACTAACGCCGTCATTCGCTCACAGGCGATGGCGAAATACCAATGTTCTGTTTTTCCTCAAGAAAAAAGAAAAGAAAAGAAAAGAAAAGAAATTGACCAATGCTGTGTTACTCTGCTGTCACCCACCGGACTCCATTCCATTTCAACTTTCTAATGCATTTCAAATCCGTTGCCCTTCACTGGTTCTAACATTACGATTCTACTTTCCTTTCTCTACCATTCTCTCTCTGTTCCAAAATAAGCTTTTGGGTCCTTGTGAGCCTTTATATGAGGTTGAGGTAATTTCTCTTTACCTTTCTTGGCAATTCCACACAACCCATTTTCCTTTTTATTATTATTATTATTATTATTTTTCTTCTTCTCACTGTTATTAGTAGTTAATATGGTACTGCTTTTCTGGTCCTACATGCATTTCACAGCTCTTATTGTGTATACAATTTGTTTATTATGTTTGGGCCTTTATGGTTCTTGGGGGTTGCTTATATTAAGTCAAAATATTTGGAGAAGTATATGATTATTGTCTAAATTGGTGTATTGGGATTCAGTGGATGCATGGTATGAGGTTAATTGCATGGTTGTCAGGTTGTGCATTGCTTTTTATTTGGTGCAATTTGCTTTGTGTTGTTAATTGTTTGAAACTTGAAAGTAACAAAGTGACATTTCCTTAATGCGGGTTTGGTTTCCTGTTATGACTGAATGATCCTATTGTGATTTACTTGATGGTGAAAATTCTCCCCACCAAAGACAACCCAAAAGAGAGAGGAAAAAGTTGTTGCTGCTAGTTTTAGTCTGTGATGTCTGTTCATTTCCTTTGATGGGAGTGATGTGAATGCGAGATTATGCGAATATAGTTTTTCGCCTCTAGAAATGCCTGTGTTAAACACAACTCAACTATTCATTCTTATGTAATGCTTGAGTAGCCTCTTGCTGAATGAGATTTTTCTGTCCTGCTACCTTATACGCATGAAAAGAACAGCGTACTTGTGAGTGATTTGAAGAAGACAATTGCTTTTACAGAATGGTTTGGGGTCTCTACCTTCTAGCAACCTTTTTCCTGTATATTAAGATTTAGTGCCTAATTTTTCATTCCATTTGGATTTTAAACTTGAATTGTTTATAGGCAAGTAAAAAGAAAATTCCAGACCACATTGGATGTGCGTCGTTGGAGGACATTTTGGAAACTGATGATGGGATTGCAAACATTCCTAAGAGTCAACCATACGTATAGTACATCTCTTGGAGTTGAGTTGAATATTCTGATTAATGACTCCAAGCATTGAATATAAACCGAAATATGATTTCATTTCCAATAATCTTTCTTAAATCTTAGTTTTCTTCCCAAATAATTGGAAAGTTCACCATGGTGATGTTTCCCCATGAAAATATCCGTTGTTTTTTTAGTTGGACCCATATGTACCCATTTTCACTTCCTCAAAAGTTAAAACTGTAGACTTGGAGCAACTCTTTGTAGAACCTGAATGTGACAACGATTTGCTTGGTAGTGTTCTTGACTTTTACCCATTGAAATCTCAAAAGTGGTTCAATAATGAAGAAATCTCAGGCAATATTGAGTCCAATAAGATAAAACTTGATAGTGGTAATCTCTCTCTTACTTATAAGTACAAACATATGCACAAACACACACACACACACACACATACCAATTTGAGAGAGATTTTACGGTTGAGAGAAAAATCGTACAATAAAAGTGTCAAGTAATTACTTATATTATATGTTTTTCTTATGATTGAATGACAAGTGATTCCCTTTTTTTTAAAACTATATTATATCTTTTATGTATTTTTATTTATAAAAATTTGAGTCCGAAAAGCATACAACTCACCTTGCAGGGCATAGAACCCCGTACTTTAGGCTTTTGCGCTTTAAAACACTGGTGTTGGTAAATCATCTCATTTGTTAGCCAGCCAACTCTGAAAGATTGTACTCCCAAGTCCCAACAATGCATGCCATGTGATTGATGTAAACTCAAGTCTGAATGATTACATGGCCTCCTGGGGTAAAATTATAGTAGTGCAGTACTGCATGAAGAGAGAGGAAGATTTCTTGAACTGTATGTAAAATCTGTCAAGTCTCGATCTTATTTCTCTTGTGATTGGAATGATTTATCCAACGCTCAACTTTGTCACTATAGTGCTATCTGATTTTTATCCCTTCTTTTTCTATGTCTGTTGGTTGTGATAGTGTTGTAGCTTCTTGATGGAATGTTCCAAGGAACGGACAATGCAGTCTGCCATGGAAGAATTAGTCTCCAACTTGTCAAGAATATCTAGGTATTTTTGGAATCTTTCCCAACAAATAAATTAGTTTCATCAAGATACTTATTTCTCCCCTCAAATTTCAAGAGAAGTTTCCTCTTTTCCTCCTTCCTGCAGGAGCCAAACATTCTGATAAAGTCTTCAAATCAGAAGGTGGTCCAGACTCCTGTCTGCAAAATGCTGGTTTAGAAAGCCACTCCCCAGGTGTCTATAAAGAATACTGTGGTGCTGAGATTTCAGATTTGTCTTGTGAGAGCACTCCAAGGCTTGGATACAAGGATAACCGCAGTTCTCTTTTGCTTGATCATATGTCAGTACAAGAACGACAATTGGCCTTTAGGAACATGTTCAGACATGAAACACCAGTAATGGACAAGCAGTGGCCGAAGCACAGTACTTCACCTGGTTTGCAGAATTTTTTTGAGTTAGAAAGTCGTTCAAACCTCGCAGAATGTGGTCTAATGTCCAAAAAAAATGAAGGAAAAACTGTTCTCTCGTCTAGCATTGAGTTCTTTGGAAGGGATTCTGGCACAATCAAAGGATCACTAAGTGATGAAAGTATGTCTAGAGATCTGCTGGTAAAACGGAAGAAGCTTGCTGACCATGAATCTTTGAAGACCTCAAATTCTAGGGTTAGTGAAATTGAACTATGCTCGTCGGATGAAAGGGATAAAGCAGGAGCGTTTGCCATGCAAAAGAGATCACGAAGGCCTCCCAGGAGATACATTGAAGAATTAGCAGAGTCTAAATCAAAGTTTTATAGTAGAAAATGTGGAGTGGCTTGTAAGAGGTCCAAGAACAGCTTTCTGCATGTTAGATCTGACAAAAATAATAGGCAGAAGGAGACTCAGGAAGAAACATTGCTTTGTCAAGATAAATCTTATGAAGTAGGTTGTATTCAAGTTCCATTTGGCCTTCCAGTGGAAACGGGCCAGTTAGAGGAACATAACTCATCTCTGGTAAGGAACATTTGAATTTGTCATTTGGTATATAATTGGTTCCTTGTAGATCGTCCAATGTAAATCTGTTTACCTTATTTTACATTACCTAATGAGCTATCAGATTCTTGTCTCTTCTATAATCAAACTGCTGATGAAAAGTATGACAAGTGAAGATTAAAAAAAGATAATCAACTTATTGTGCCACCTTTGTAATAAAGTTTAATTTTTTGTGTGGATACTACAAGATTATGGATTGCCTAGTCTGTTTTTCTTTTCAAAAATTAGAAGTGACATGTGTTCTCCTAAGTAAAAAACAGCTGCTTTCAAGGCATTTTGCACATTCTGCATTTTACCAAGATTTTTCCTTATCATCTAAAAGAAACACATTAAAACAATAAAGTCAATGACCATCCGTGTCCATTTGAATTTGAGTTATACAAAGTGTTGTACATGAAGGAAAGTATTTGTCATGTTTATAATGCATTTATCGGTAATTTATGTCCAGAACTCTGAGGATTGCAAGGACCACAGACTCCTAAGATCCAGTGAGAAACTTGAGATTGAGTATTCTGCAGCAAAATCACGAGAGGAGATTTCTGAAGATGAGTGTGTCTTGAGGAGAAGTACTCAAAAAGGTAGCAAACAGATAAAGCATTATACATCTTGGACTTCTTCTGAAGTGATGAAGTTAATTGAAGGTGTTTCTCAGTGTGGAGTTGGAAGATGGAGTGAAATGAAGAGATTACTGTTTTCTTCATGTTCACATCGAACAGCTGTTGATATTAAGGTAGTTCATGGCATTTTTTTATTGTTATTTCTCCCAACATATACTCTTTGGGATCAGAAATGATTTAATCTTTTTGGCTTTTCAGGACAAATGGCGTAATTTGTTAAAAGCTAGCTGCACTCAGTTGCAGAAAGAGAGAAAGGTTGGGTTGAAATTACTTTTACTTTATCTCTATTTTAACATCGTGAGCAGATATTTTACATGATCAGTGTGACCCCTAAGCATCTTTAAAGCAGATTTGGTTTGGCATTTCAAGATATCTGTTATCTGATTCTTATCTATATAAATTACCTTATAATCTCTAAACATGTTGTGGTTCTCGCTTTGCATTTGTTCTCAGTGTAGTATCTTGTGGAGTTATTGTCTTGTTGACATATAAGAGCGTTATGCAACTAGTGAACTAGTACTGGCAATATCTTTTGAAATAAAGCTTCTTATTTGAAGAGAGCCTTTTGGATTATTTAGTATGATGAATATAATTAAGAGTTGGAATTTGGTAGACCAGAACTCCTATTGTGAGCTTGAAGGGTAGATATTTCATTCTTCTATTTCTTTATCATGCAGATTAAGAGAGACATAAGCAAGCAAGCATCCGATCATGTACCAGAATCTGTTTTGCAGCGCGTTAGGGAGTTGGCCGTCATTTATCCATATCCAAGGCGAAAAAGGTCCGCTTGTAATACTCATGCTATGTCTTCTTTTGCAACCAACGAGTGTAATGCACTGCCCCCCTCAGAGAAAATAGATTTCTAGAAACCTCAGTGAACTCCACAATACATGTGAGTTCTTTTGTAGTGAAACTGAAAAAGAAAATAAATGAAGGGTTGAGCCCTTTGACATCTAGCTCAATCAATTTTGTATAATTCTTGTGTTTAGATGAATTCCTTAACCCATTTAACATGACATTATATTATTTAGGTCATGCCGATTATTTGATCAATTTTTTAGTTTATTGATCAACAGTCAACAGGGAAAGAGAGTTCTGTATACGTCTTTTTCTCATCCTTATCTCAAGTAGTCGTTGTCATTTTGTCAGCGCTTATTATTGCGGTATGGGTTACCAACTTGGCAATTTACCTGCTTACTTGTGTTGTTTTGGCCTTTGGCTTTTGACTTTTTAATGGATTTTCTTTATCCTTTGACTTTCCAAAGTTGTAAAACTTCAATCCACTCAAATATCAACCTTCAAAGTGTGATTGCGGCTCTACTACAATGGGTTTTTTTTCCCTCAACACAAATGATAGGATATTTTCAAAGATACCACGATACCGCGATAGAACTGGCCAACTACAATGCTTGGAGTCAACTTTTTGCATCCAAGGAATTTGCTGCAATAATGTGAGCAACTTTTTGTCTCTGAATCTTCATTCTTCAATAGCATGTTTACTTATCAAGAATGGGTAATGGAATTTTCTTGCTTCCCTGTGTTTTTCATGACTTTCCCTTCCCTCCCCTGCGTTTACTAAATGTAAGAAATCAAAACTTTTGTGGGTTTCATGTTAAAATCCGTAATTCAATACCCGCAAAACTAGGAATTGGAAGAGTAATTGATCCAATTCCAATTCTCTTATTCCTAAGTTCTTCGATTCATAGCTTCATCTATTCCTCGTAAGTAAACATGCCCTAAATAATAAGGCACAATAGAAATATGCCCTAAATAGTAAGGAAGAAAAGAAATTTCCAGCTGAGTCATGTTGCTTGCTAGAGTTTATTTCAGACTTATTTGCCTATACAACCAAAACACATTCACCAAAATCTGATGAAAAATGACCAATTTCATTTTGTTTCAACTTTTACATTTGCATCCTGTGGCTGTTGATGATATCCAGCTTGAGGTTTTGTTGTTTATTTTTGCTTTGTTAAGGAGCAATATTCAAGTGCACCTACTCTACAATACAAAATAATCTTGTCACACCTAATTCCAAATTAAAATATTCCCATAAAAACAAAAATCTCAATCCATTAAAATATTCCCATAAAAACAAAAATCTCAATCCATCCAGATTTCCTCAACTGTTTTCTTTATTTTATTTTATTTCTTTTAATGGCGTGCCGCCTTGACTGCCATAAGATTAAGATATATGTGAACAACAAAATTCCAACTGCTGTCATTATACCTTCATTGTTTAATATTTTCCAACTAACCAGTTATGATATTATAAAAAAAATAAAGAACCAATTATGTCACTCTCAAATTCAAACCCTAATTACAAAATTAAATATTAAAAATTAATAATTGTTGCATGATCATCTCGGGGAGAGCAATACCGTAATACCTTTTGGAACTCTAATACAAAGTGTTGTACACGCAGGAAGTATTTGTCTTGTTTATAATGCATTTATCGGTATTGTATGTCCAGAACTCTGAGGATTGCAAGGACCAGACTCCCAGGATCCAGTGAGAAACTTGAGATTGAGTATTCTCTAGCAAAGTCACGAGAGGAGATTTCTGAAGATGAGAGTGTCTCGAGGAGAAATACTCAAAAAGTTAGCAAATAGACAAAGCTTTATACATCTTGGACTTCTTCTCAAGTGATGAAGTTTTGAAGGTGTTTCTCAGTGTGGAGTTGGAAAATGGAGTGAAATGAAGAAAGAGAGAAAGGTTTGGTTGAAATTACCTTTACCTGATTTGTATTTTAACATCATGAGCAGATATTTTACATGCTCACTGTCGCGCCTGAGCAATCTTCAAAGCTGATTTTCTTTGGCATGTCAAGATATCTTTTATCAATTTATAATCTCTAAGCATGTTGCGGTTCTCGCTTTGCATTTGTCCTACTGTAGTGTCTTGTGGAATTGTTGCCCTGTCGACATATAAGAGCATTATGTAACTAGTGAACTAGACTGGCAATATCTTCTGAAATAAAGCTTCTTATTTGAAGTGAGTTTTTTTAAATTGTTTGCTTGATGGGTAGATATATCATTCTTCTATTTCTTTATCATGCAGATTAAGAGAGAGATATAAGCAAGCGAGCATCCGATCACGTTCCAGAATCTGTTTTGCAGCGCGTTAGGGAGTTTGGCCGTCATCTATCCATATCCAAGGCGAAAAAAGGTCCGCTCGTAATACTCATGCAATGTCTTCGTTTTCAACCACCAAGAGTAATGCACGGCCCCCCTCTCAACTGCTGTTAAAAGGGTCAGAGCAAAACCGAATGAGTATAAGAGCCTCTGTGTATTATTTGGGTTATCTGCCCACTTTAGAATTTATATTTGAGCCTGAAATACTTGATTGCAAATAGGCCATGTAATGCTAACTTTGATGCGTTGTTAAACTTTTGTTCTCGGCAATCTCTTGCGCTCTTGCGGCTTAACAAATTCTTCTAGTATAAACATGAACCTAACTTCTTCTTTTTTTTTTTGGACAGATTTAATTTAGGAAGCGAAAGAGATCAATTTGCTTTACTTGGGAGTATGTTCCTACCATACAAAACAAACTGATCTCGTGACATCTAATTCCAAATTAAAATTTTGCATTTAAAACAAAAATCTTAATCCATCCAATCTTTCCACAACTGTTGCCCTGACTGCCATATGATTCAGATATATTTGAATTTGAGCAACAAAAATTCCAAGTGGTGTCATATTATTTTATATCACAATATTATTTAGTATAATTTACTCTATATTATTTAGGTCAAAAAGTCACAATATGGGTTACCAACTTGCCAAATTACCGACTTACTTGTGATGTTTTGCCTTTTGACTTTGGACTTTTTATGGATTCCCTTTTAGCTGTCCTTTGACTTTTTAATGTTGTAAAACTTCAGTCCACTCAAATATCAACCTTCCCAAATGGGATTGCGGTTCTGTAAACTTCAGTCACTCAAATTACCGACTTAATATAAGGAATGGATATTGTAATTTTCTTGCTTCTTTGTGATTTTTATGACTTTCTCTCTCGAAACTAGGAATTGGAAGAGAATTGATCCAATTCCAATTTTCTTATTCTTAAATTCTCTGATTTATAATGTCGTTTATTCATAATAATTAAATATACCTAAATAGTAAGGAAGAGTCATTATATTTGCCAGAGTTTATTTCAAACTTGTTTGTCTTTACACCCAAAACACATTCACCAAAATCCGATGACATGAGGGTTTCTATTTCTGTTTATTCTAACAGATTTTGGTTGTGAAAAAGATCAATTTGGTTTGTTTAGAAGCAATATTCATGCGCACCTACCATACAAAACAAAATGATTTTGTCACACATCCAATTCCAAATTAAAATATTTGCATATAAACAAAAATCCACCCAGATTTCCTCAACTGTTTATTTTCTATTTCTTTTATTGGCACGCCACCTTGACCGCCATAAGATTACGATATATGTGAGAACAGCAAAAATGCCAACTGCTGTCATTATAACTCTGTTCCAAATAACCACTTATGTTATTATAAAAATATAAAAACAACCAGTTATGTCGCTCTCAAATTCGAACCCTAATTACAAAATTAAAAATTAAAAATTGTTGTTTTATCAAAATGACAAGGATCATCTCGGCCCGAGCGAGACCGAAATACCGGTAGGAACTCTCATGTTGTCGGACCAAAACTTCGACTCCAAATATAGCTTGGAGATTTTCCCCGACACGCGTCCCATGCTGGGCCGTTGATCCGGGTCCACGTGTACGCACTCCAGAGCCAAACGTGTTAACTTCTCAGCCACTTCCACGGGAAACGAATCCTTGAGCCTGCTATCCACCCAAGTCCTCAGACCACCATGCCGAATCGCAGCCTGGGCCGAGTCGACCACCGAGGTTCTGATAAAATCACCCATCGTTTTATCAAACCTGTACTTGAAAGGCTCTTGCCCCGACAGGAGCTCCAAGAGCACGATGCCGAATGCGTACACGTCAGACTTCTGCGTCGCGACGCCGGAGGCCTGAAACTCCGGCGACATGTACCCTCTCACCCCTTCGAACTGGTTCTTCCGGCTGCTGGTACGGTTCAATTTCGGGTCGGGGCCTTCGACGACCTCGATTTCGGATCGGGATTTTGGATTCGGGTCGAGATGGGTGTACGAATCGGTCTCGCCGCAGAGCTGGGCCGCCCCGAAATGGCAGAGGCGGGCGTTGAAATGGGGCTCGGTGACCAAAACGCTGCCGCTTTTGATGTGGTTGTGGACCAGATTGACGTTGAGGCCCGTGCTGTTGTGGATGTAGTCCAGCCCCTGCGCGAGATCCGTGGCGATCTGCATCCGGAAGGTCCACGTGGACAGGACCGTGTAATTCGGGTTGTTCGGGTTCCGGAGGCAGGCTGCCAGGCTGGCGCCGCTGACGAACTCGTAGACTAAGAAGGCGTAGTCGCTGGAGACGCAGGCGCCGAGGAGCTTGGTGATGGAGGTGTGGTGGCTGCGGCAGAGAGTGGAGAGCCGTTGCCTGAGCTCCGGGGTGGAGAGCTTAACGCGGGGAGGGGGGGGTGGGGTTGAAGCGCTTGGAGAGGAAGTTGTTGGTGGCGGCGCAGAGCTCGGAGTAGTCGTAGAGGATTGGGTTTTCGGGGACGGGGAGGGAGTCTTTGAGGGTAGAGAGAGAGGTTGACGATGAAGAGGTGGAGGCTTGGGACTGGGAGGAGAGCTTGTAGCTTGAGGTGGAAGTGTAGCGGCCGCTTAGGGTGTCGGAGGCTGAGGGCTCGAAGGAAGAGGCGGTGGGTTGAGCCAATTGCGGGGTGCGCGGGGTGCGCCGAGGAGTGGCGATGGGCTGGGTGGCGTCGACTGACATTTTGGATTTGCACATATGGTGGGTGGGCAGAAATTGGGTTCATTTATTTAATTGTTAGGATTTTGGGGACATTTAATTTAAGGAGTGGGGGTTCAACTTCAACGCAGGGTAGCTGCGGAAGCGAATTAGTAAAAGTATGATGTGAATGGCTCATTTCTATTGTGCGCCAGGCACGGCGGCGCATGTTAGTAGTGAGGGCTTCAAGTATTATGTTGTGTTTTTATGGCAGGAAAGGAAGGCAGAGGTTCAACATGAGCGAGCGTGGTGAGTGAGTATGTGCAACGTGAAGTGTTGAGGACTTTTCGCTTTCGTTGCGTGGTCTGTTTTTAGATGTTTTTAATATGCCTACGGCTCCTTCCCGGTGCTCTCTGGGGTCGGTCAACAAGATTATTTGTGGGAGGGAAATTCGGACTCAAATCTTGGGTAAATGTTTATTGTCACCGTCCTCTAGCCCGCAACGATATGAATTGGCGCGAGCCACTAGACTGGAGTTGAGTTTTCTTTACTGATTTTGCCCACGTGTCTATGTCATTGAAAATTGATGAATGGGGATATCATTATATTCTTGTCAACGAGGATAGAAAGTGAGAGGGGGAAAAGAATAGTAGGGTCTCAATTTAAAAAAAATAAAAGTATATTGGTCAATTAAGACTATATATATATATATAGAGCGCTGCTATTTCCACTCATATGTTCTATTTTTCAATTCACTTTATTTTCTCATTTATTATGTAAATTTGAAAAAATAAAATCCTACCTTTTCACTCACCATTATTCCTAAAATACCCTTTAGTTATTAATTCAACCAAATACCATAAACTCCAAGTTAAAAACACAAAAATTTTAACAAAAAAAAAAAACCTCTTCATCTTCTTTATGTCTTTTCAACTTCATAACCTTCCCCTACCATATTAATATTCTAATCAGCCCCTTAGCAGTACTGGCGGCTTCACTTCTGCGACACCACCATCACAACAATACAGCTACGACCAACAAGACTGTCATGGATTTTAATTGAAGTGATGTTATATGGAATAAGGACCCACATGTGGGTTAATCAGACAAATAAATCTTTAAAATTGAAGGACAATTTGGCCTCTATTATCAACACCCACCAACCTTGACACAATATTAAAGGTGGAGTTGAAAATTTGATTTGATTTATTTATTTTTATTAACTTTTCAAAGGATTGGGATGGGTAGATCAGCGCTCGGATTTGTTGAGGTCAGGAAGATGGAAAGAATATGGAGAGTTAAAAGAAAAAATTTATTTTCTTTTTAAAATTTGTTTTATTTTTAGTGTTTTAGAAGTCATTTTACAGAGGGATAAATTTGTCTTTAAATTTTTTAAAATAAAGTGGGTGAAAAAAATATGACAGGTGGATGGAAATAGAAGCACTTCATATATCCTCTTGTTTTAGTGATATTTTTCTGAATTTTCATTGAACGTGCATATAAAGATATGGACTTGTTCTATGTAGAGCACGCGTTGTTTTATGTGGAGTGGTTGAACTTTATATGTGAGTATGTGTAGTCATTGGGCTTCATATGCGACCAAATGTGGCTTTGATAACATGGTGGTGGATACCTATTTCTCTATATATAGCCTAGCAAAGTTTTTCAACTTTTAAATGTATGACATTTCTTTCCATTCTTACACTTCCCATTTTAGCTCAGTCAAGACCACATGAATCAGTCCAGTCATTCTTGAATACCATTCAACGGATGACAGCTACACATGCATATGTTTTTTTATTTTATTTTATTTTATCTTTTCGAAATTAAAGCTCTAGCTGGGTTTGCTCCCTAGTTCGAAACCCAGCAGTTGCAACACCTGGTGGCCAACAGCAGGCTCAGTTCCGCGAGTGGGGATTAGTCGAGGTGCGCACAAGCTGGCCCGGACACCTCATGGTAATTACCAAAGAAAAGAAAAAGAAAAAAAGAAGAAGAACAAGGGCCCCATTCCATTCGTTGGATCCTTGGTGAAACCGACTGGCAGACTGTAATTCCCACGACAGAACCGGGGTCTAACTAAGCAAATCAAATCTTCCACAGCAACGAGGTCACGCGTTTTGATTAATCCCATTATAAAGGAGAAAGGAGCATCAACGTTCAAAGTGAGGCAAAACATGTGCGAAGAGTTTCACAAAAGGAGGTGGAGAGTTTCGGATGTGGAAGAAGGAAGAAGGCTTCAATATTCATTCTATATTTTGTGCAAGGAAATTCACACCCTAATGTGAGGTAAGACAGGTTACTTCACTTTAGGGTTTGCGGTCACCATCAAAGCTTTAGCTTACAAAACTATACCAAGTTGCAAAGGATTTTAAGAAGGCCAACCTTGTATGATTTGATTGGCTATTTTAAGATATTATTGTTTCCCTCATATAATAGAAATTAATGCTAAGCTACCACCACTGTGGGTGCCATAGGGGGAGGGGGAACCCACCACCACTGTGGTGGTAACCCATTGGCTTTCTCTAATTGCTTTTGGTTGTGTCTGTACAGTTGAAACTCTTGTGGGGTAGTAGAACACAATTTGAGTGATTCACCAGAGAAATTTTTCTCGTCAACAATAGGATAGAAAGCGAGAGGGGAAAGATGACTAATTAGGACGATGTGTTAATTCAGAAAAATTTCATTACAAGTTAAAAGTTGGTCTCTGTGTTAACATGTTCACTTTTCATCTTCGTACGTAATTTCAATTTTGTTGCAATTCTGGATGTAATTTTTGCAAAAGTATAACTTTAGTTGAATAAGGGCCCGATTCTATCTCTTGGGTTGCAGAAAACCATCGAGCAGAGATTCTTTCATTCCACAAGGTCTAGTAAGCAAATCAGTTTTTTTCACAAAGAGGGTGGTATATATATTTATGTTGCGAAGAGACTGTAATGACAGGTTACAATGAGGGGTTATAATGAGGAATAATTTTTGGGTGTTCCAGGTACACTTTTTCCGAGGGTCATAGTCTTGGAAAGTAAGTTCGAGTAAAAGCCTCCGCCTTATGCACAGGAGGAGCATTGGATCCACTGATCGATCAAACGTCTCTATAACTTATGTGACGGAGAAAGCCAACAGGAAAAGGGAAAGCTTGTTGGATTCAAAAAGTTTAGCGTGCTAGCAAAAATGGTTCATTTTTAGGAATATGCCCACGACCATATTGCATTGCATGCGGGGTCTGCATTCAACAACTGGCAGATTTGCTGAGGAGAAGAAGATCAATGCTAAGCTAACTCATTATAAAGGCCTTGAAAACGATATTCTAGGTATTGTTGACGATGGTTATATATCAACTGTTTAGCATAGAAACCATAGTTAGTAAAAGGGATGGAAAAAGTACGAAAAGAATACGTAGGTGTATTATTCGGTAAATTTTTTACACAACGTGGTGAAAAATTCGACCACTATATAATACTTTAATAAGATTTATTCAAAATTTTAATGTATATTATTTTTATTTAATAATTGTGAAAATATGTATATAATACATGAACTAAACGTGAAGAATACATATATATATTTATAATACGTGTATATTATATGTCTGATTTTAAAAAATATATATGTAGTTTATAGTGTCTTTAAGATGTATACGAGAAATATAACTATTTTAAAAATACGTATAGTATGAGATTATAAGTGAATTTACCAAGTGCCCAAACAACTTAATTAGCATGTTTAGAAAAGTTGTTGGGGGCACGTGTCCTCTTCTTTTGTGTATAATTATAATACCTAGAATATCGTTTTCAAGGTCCTTATTGTAAGACCCGTGTCTTGGGGAAACAAGAACAGTGAGCAATCTCACATCGCTCGGGGAGGGAAAGGTGAAGTGCTTTAAATGTGTGGGCACTTCTCTTCTTAGCATGAGGCTTTTTGGGAGCTCACTGGCTTCGAGTCATAGGAACTCCGAAGTTAAGCGAGTTGGGGGCCAGAGCAATCC